GTATTATTTACGTTAGATTTATAATTATGATACTCGCGATTATAATTGTTGTTACAGAAATAGGCGGGCGAAGAATTTTTAAATGAGACGACGTCTTTGTGTTAAAAAAAAGTTTGCAGGAACAAGAACGGGAAAAGGGAATGTACATAGCGACAGCGAAGGCGATGCACTTGAATTAACTTAGAGTGTATTTCTAGCACTCTAGGTTTAGCTCCGGAACACTCACGGTATGTTATATGCTGGGGCAGAAGACCCCGCGATTCCAAGCCTCATCTCTCTTTGGATCTATCGCGCTATTGCATTTCTAACGACGGCAAATCGTATATTTTTCTTATCGATTCGATCAGTTCGATTCATTAATTAATATTCAACATTTTATACAATTTATCGATTTTCGCGTGAAACTATAACAATTAAATGACATTCACATTTGCGAATTAAATCGCTAGATCCGGCGAGAGTCAAAAAAATATCCGCGCAATCGCAATTGGATCTCGAGAGCTTATGGGCGATAACCGCGGAAGATAAGGGAAGCATCTTCACCGTCAATGGTGAACCGCGGCGCCTCATTTACGCGATATCGGAATCACCTGTTTCCGAGCGTTGGCCCTTATCGATCGTAAATACAGGTGTGTTCTTAGGTGACCAAGTAGAACAGAGAGAGAGAGAGAGAGAGAGAGAGAGAGAGAGAGAGAGAGAGAAAGGATGATTGAGAAAAGAGATAGAGAAAGAAGGGGGTGACACGAGAGGAATGCACGCGAATGAGGAAAGAGAAGAAGACACGCTTACGTGAACAAGTCGTGTCCTCGGATGAGCATTCAGGTTTCGGTCGTTTGGGTGGCTGCCTGCCTGCCCGTGTTACCCGATGCCCCCTTCACCTTCACTGCACATATAAGGGCTGCGAGCACCAGCCCCCGCGCACGCACCAGCGAAAAAAATGCATACGCATACGATAACGGGGGTGCGTGCCTGAGGGCTATCCTTATGGGGCTTGGGGAGGCCATACAATACTTTAGTAACCCCGTAATACCTCCCCTTTCACGCAGGCAGGTGGGCAGGCAAGCAGGCAGGCAGGCAGGCAAGGCAAGACAAGGCAAGGCAAGGCAAGGTAAGGCAGGCAGATAGAGCCTTCGAGTATAAAGTATAAAGTAGCCGACCGATGCTCCTCCTCTTTTCTCCACCGGCGTGTACATCGGGATTAAAGGGTTGGCGAAAGGGGTTGGCGGTATCTCACGTTTGTGTGCCAATTTATCAAGCGCCGCCGATACGACGGTGGATGGCTTCTCACTTCCTATGCTACGAGGAATTCGATTACTTCCTTAATAATACATCGGAAATGTTCTGTTCTTCTCGTGCAAGAAGAACGTGTCATCGAGTCTAATTCGCGATATGTAAACATATGTTCAGAAACTTGATTAATGAAAATCAACGAAAGATAATTTCCTAAGGAAATTTGCAATAAATAATATTTGTTGTAAAAAATCTTAAAGTTACACTGCAGCACTATCTTGTATAATTGCACAATTTGTAGGAATGTGAGACATCGATCTTCTACAAATTATGATTGAAATAAATGTAAAATAAAATTTTTAAACGTACAATAATTAAACGTACTTTTAATGTACATATTTTATTATACGTTAAAAAAGAACTATCTTATTTAAAAAAAAAAGTTGCATGTATACGCATGTAAATTTCATATTAAATTATTGCAAATCGTGTTCTATCTAGTCGCTACATTTCCATCTATATGTGCCGTGTAAGTAGAAACAGACATTCGTAGACAGATGATCTTTTAAAAATTTGCCTCGCGCGACTTATGCATTTATCTTTTCGATAAAATTTTTTAACTTGGAGAGAGTGTCATGATACTAAGTTGCATATGCACTGATAATTTCAGAGGCCGTGAGCCTGTCAAACGTATACCGGCTCGTGCATATTCGCTATACAGCCACATCGGGATTTGTTATCGCATAATGATTCCGGCTCTGGTGAATAAACCACAATCGGATAACGATGCCGCATAATTATCCCGTAATTTCAACGTAGAGGGTTTAGAGAGATCGTACAATCGCGGAAAGAGAGGTACACGGATAAGGGTTGAATGGGGTGAGCAAATGAACGGAGGTTCCGCACGGGGCGTACGAATCGCCGCGTTGTTGTTGGCAATTAAAAACAGCGGCGACGGCCCTTTCGGACGGAAGTAGTAGTGGTTGCTTTCGTGCGCCGACTGAAATTCCGTTTTGCAGCCCTGCAGGACGGCCTGGCGCGGCGCGGCGCCAAAAAAGCGGGGTGCATAAATCGCGCGGGTGCCGAATATTCGGGTATCTCCGCCTACTTTCTCGGTTTCTCTCCGTCGGAGAGAGCTCGCTGCAACTCCGCGAATGCAGTTAAACCGAGACACACATACATACGGCACGCATATGTACGGCGCGTAAACCTCTCTACCGCCGGCCCTCCTATTTATAACGCGAAATTCCCGGAAGGTAAAGGCAGATAGCATCGAACCACCGACATGTACGAAAGAGGACCTACCCATAATTTTCCCCCGATTCGTGGGCTGTCGACCACCGGCCACCGGCTGCACGCACATCCGCATTCGATCAAGCCGCGCACACCGCGAACTTCGCTCTCCTCCTCTTTCTTCATTTCGCTGCCTCTCACCCTTTCTCACACCCTTCGTCAACCCTTTCTAATCCTCCCCCGTGCGCGCGGGCGAGCTCGAATTTTTTGACTCTGTTCATTTTTCTCTACATTTTTCTTGTAGGAATGCACTTTAAATCTTCGCTTTTCAGTGTCTTTTGAGAGAGGGAATAAAGATTTTGTTTTAATTTCGTTAGAAGGGAGATTTAGATCCCTTCCCTCTAAATTTTTTTTAATTGAGAAATAGTGATTGTATTGAACATTATTTTACGATAATGAATTATCATATACAATAGATGATTTATAGTTATAATTATCTTTGTTAAGCAGTTATGCTAAAAACTTCTAAATTACTTCTTATTCTTTTTTTTAACAGCGACCATTAATTAAATAATAAGAGTCAATAAAAGGTACCCATTTTAGTGAAACTCAAAGCTGTTTAAAGACATCCTTTTTTTGTTTACTACATTCATAAAAACAAAGTAAAATATAAGAGATTTCAGCATTTTTAAAATATAATAAATTTCAAAAAAAAATTTGAGAATTCATTTAGATTTATCAGAAATTAACTCTTTATAATGTAAAACAAACGCTTAACTCCTATGCGTTATTTTCTACGCGAAGTGAGATCCAAATGGGCTTCCTCAGATTATCTTATATTCTACAAAGTAACACGGTGTAGCGCGGGACGACGCGAAATCGGTAATCGGCCGCGAGAATTCTGGGAAGATAATAATATTTGCCCCGATGGCAATCAACCGTCCAGACGGCGGCCAGACAAGACAATGATAGATCAATCTTGCGAGTCTCGCACGCTCGGATGCGCGTCACGTCAACCCGTTCACCCGCTTCGCGACCTCACGATCGTGTTTGCCGACGTCGGGCTGACTGACGACTTTAGGAAAGAGCCACCGACGACCGCGGTACACGACCGTGACCAATTTACAAACGATAGCCGTCATTTCTCGACAGTGGTAAGCGCATCTTCCTTCCAGTCGAGTCAGTAGCCCCGGATCGGTCGGGAGGTCAACGGTAACGAGAGACAGACGAAGCCGCAACCACAGGAAGCGGTTCTGGTCATGATGATGATGTGACTCGATCTCGTTGGTTGAATTTTCTAGCGATCATCAGGGCGCCATCTCTCCGTAATAAAGGATGCTGATGAGGTCGAAAGGAACGCGATAAAAAGGAGCTCTATTTTTTTGCATACAATTTAATTATGTTTTAGAAAGAACATGTTACTCCAAAATTCATGTCTTTTTTTAGAAACACATCCGATTGAATTATAAATGTATAAAAGCATTTTACTTTATAATCGTATTTAATTGTCATTTTAAATTGTAACAGTAACTAGATTAAAGTTTATTTTTTTTACTTTTATGTGTGTCTAATAAAATAAAATAATAAAATACTGTACATATGATGTAAATCTATTTTGCTTAATATTTTTAAAAAAACTTTGTAAAATAAGCAATTCAATAAAAAAAGTATAATAATTTAATATCATTTTGATATATTAATTGTATTACATTGCGATAATTGAATCGCTTCCGGATGTAATGCTTATCAAGAGAGCGTTAGCAAGCAGAGTATATCTAAAGTCCCTTAAATTTAATGACTTTAGAATATCTCTGAAGCTACGCGAAGTTCTGTGTAACAAATAATCGATTATGAAAAATAAAAATTCTTTGTTATATTTTAGAAATATCAAATATAATCGATTTTTTTATTTTGATTACCAGTCAGCAGTTATTAAATATAAAATTAATTCTTTGTCATGTGTAAAAGATAATACGTTCATCATGTCTATACAATATCGAAAAAAAGACATAGCAATTACAGATTTATATTTTCCTTAAATAACAAATATTTGTTGATGTATACGTATTTTTTCTTTAATTTAATAAATCGATATTATCGATTAACATCAAATTTAAAACAAAAATAAATGGCCGCTCTCATGCTTCTCTCTGCTCTAACAAATATCACAATTTTGTCTCTTTATGTGGCAAATGTTTGCGTTTAGATGTTAAATTAGAAATGAACAGCTTATACACATTTAGAAACCGAAAAATCTAAAAATAGAAAAGATGAAAAATGAATTTTTTATTAAGAATTCTTTATTTTAATTTATTTCTGCAATGATTTTTGAAAATTGAAAAAGTTCATGTTACATAATATATATGTAATATTTATGTAAATATATAAATTTTCGAGAATAAAGTCCGAGTTTATATCGACTAGATTGAGATTCGATTAATCGAATTTAAAATATATCGAGAGGAAAATCGACTTTTAGTTCAAAAGATTCGAACATTGGTTAGTCGATTAATCGAGGAAAATCGAACGTTGCTCATTCCTGATGATCAGCAAAAACAGTTGTAAAGGTTAGATGCTATCAGAAACACATGTATGTTCAACAAATACGCACGATATACAAACGATTTGAAAAGTAAATAGCGTCGTCGCGTCTGTCACATAACATATAAGTAAGTGTATATATATATATATATATATATTTCAATTTATTATTACATCTTATTTTAACACATTGAGATTAGTTTTTACTAAAAGTTGTAATATTTCTACAAATTATAATTATTTTTACGTGATGTTTCTCACCCTTCACACATTGAATATGTTAGTTATGCCAATTAATGATTACAGATAGATTTAAAAACTATGTGAATCTAACTTGTATTGGTTTTATATGTTTAATAAAACTTTAATTTATATTTATTTGTATTTCATTAAAAGTAACAATGCAATATAATTTTTATTATTTTGAGAAATATTTTATATGTAAGCTATTATTTGTTTTAATCTGAATTTGTTATATATTATTTCTGTTAAACCATACAATGGGATATCATCTTGAGCACGATATGACTTTTTAATATTTTTTTGTACTTTAAGCAGCAGAATAATATTTCTTTATAAAAAACAGGGGATTTTACTATGCTTAATATTACATTAATTTTAGAAGATCATAAATTCTGGAATCCTGCACAAATTATTCGACGTTATGTGGAACGAGGATCTAAATACTATTATTCTACCTACATTGTCCACAATGATTTTCTTTGTATTCACGGTAAATTTATTCCGATACCTCGTAGGTAGTCCTCATATTCAAATTAGAGACGTTACAAAGGAACATAATTGGAAGGCAATTAGCGGAATAACCAAGGTACTTTTATGGATTTAAAAGTAACACTACTACACTATATTTTAGTCCATAAAAAAATTGCAAATGTATTTCGATTAAAGTGAAAGCGATAATAAATTAGATTAATAAAATTGTTTCTGTGTATACAGGCGTATTATTGCAGTATTTGCGAAGCTTTACTATTGAATCGTGATGCGCTTTTCTGCGATTCTTGTGGCGTGTGCGCGGATCGAGGTTGCGTAAAGTTTGCCAATAAACGACTAAAATGCAAGGCTATAACTCTTAATAATGACCAGCTGATGAAGCATCATTGGATTAAAGGTATTACAGCCTGTAATTAATATATACATTGTTTTAAATGTGCAACTCTTTAAATATCTCTTGTTATGTTTGAAGGTAATTTGCCACTTGTTGCCATGTGTTACATTTGTGAAGAAGAGTGCGACGCAGAGCCCGGCCTCACAGATTGGTGGTGTTGCTGGTGTCAGAGAAGTGTTCACGAAACATGTAAAGCTTCTCTCTCTGAAGTAATAATTAATGATATTTCGTTTTCTTTTATCAATCGCTTTTTAATCATGTGCCTTGTTGTTTCATAATTTTATTAAAACTCTTTATAATTAAGAAGCATAACATTCTTCTTGATTATAAAGATAATAATATATAAAAAGACTATGAAATGTTGTTTAGAGAGTAGTTGCATTGTACAATGCTTTTTACAACATTTCGTCATTCCAAAAAGAAATTGTGAAACATACTGTAAAAAGTAAGTATTTTCTTTTCAGATATGTGATTTTGGAAAGTTCAGATTAATGATCATTCCACCGGGAAGCCTAGAGGTAATAAATCGACGTAGCACAATGAGACGCAGGTTACACCTCCGTTCTGTCATACCACCAAACTGGCCTAATTGGAATCCGATAATTGTTGTAGGTAAGAGAATAGAAAACAACACAAATTTTTTGCTTAAAGTAAGTATCATTAAAGAGTAATGGATATATCTATTTTTATGATTTTTCTTTTTGCACAGGAAATAGGAAATCGGGAAACAATGATGGAGACCAAATTTTATCTCTATTCCGAAGATTGTTAAATCCTGCGCAAATCGTAGACTTAGCAGAACGTGATCCAGTCGCTGCCCTCGAATGGTGCCGTTTGTTAGGGAAAACTCAATCCACTATACTCGTAGCCGGGGGCGATGGAACCGTCGCTTGGTTATTAAACACCATCAACAAGCTCGAGTTAAAAGTAATTATCTTTTTTGATACGGAACTTTCAGATACGCATAAGCACGAGTACAAACAAATGTTTTTACACGAAACAGCCTATTCCATCTGTAGCAATAATTCCTTTGGGGACAGGCAACGATTTATCCAGAGTATTAGGATGGGGAAAGGAACACGATTCGCATTTGGATCCCATGGAATTGTTGCAGAAGATTCAAGCAGCGGAGCAGGTGAAATTTGACAGGCACGTGATGAAAAAATAATATATCTATAAATTATCGATTGATCAGAGCTACACATATACATTTTGTGAAATTTATATAGATGGTCCGTGACAATAAAACCATACGGCGGATTAGGATTCAGAGGATCACATCGCACCTTATTCATGTACAATTACATAAGTGTGGGCGTGGACGCACAAGTGACTTTGAATTTTCATCGCACGAGGGAGAGTCGATTTTATCTGTTTAGTCATAGAATATTTAACAAGGTATCTTTTCGTCAAATATAAATACGCAAATAAATTTATCCAGTTTGAATAAAGTAAATTCGCACGCGCTTTATATATATTGATAGCTGTTGTACCTGTGCTTTGGAACGCAACAAGTTGTGGAAAGGGAGTGCAAAGATCTCGATAAAAATTTAGAAGTCTATTTAGACGATAAGAAAATAGATCTGCCTTCTATTGAGAGCGTAGTGATACTTAACATTCCATCGTGGGCTGCTGGTGTCGACCTATGGAAAATGGGAATGGAAGGTAATATCCACTTTAATGATATTGATTTAAATTTAATACTGAGATTACACACATTGCTTGACAGACGACGAAGATTCGGAAGTGCAAAGTATTAACGATGGCAAGTTGGAAGTAGTAGCACTTTATTCTTCATTCCACATGGCTCAGCTCCAAGTAGGTCTCTCGAAACCACATCGGATTGGCCAAGCTAATACTGTAAAGGTAATTACCTCAACAATTCAAAAGACTTTTCTCGCATCTACAACTGTACACAATAAATGTATTATTGTTTAGATAAAATTATCGCGGTCGTGCGCTATGCAAGTGGATGGTGAACCCTGGTATCAGCATCCATGCGAATTCAACATAACATACTGCAATCAGGCTTCTATGCTGATGAGTAACGACTTTTAAATATCTGCCGCGTGACCTTATAGAAGTTTGCACAAATGCATTTATTCATACGTTACTATATGTACAAGTACCAGCTAATATTTGCCAAAGTTGTTAGCTACTTAACAGCGATCAAAATATTGGAGTGCATAAGAAAAAAAAATGAAGAATCTCTAGTCAATGTTATATTTACACAAAAGTATGTATCGTTATATCTTTTATTGATTGTAGCTGTTTCGTAATTCTATTTATTGATGCCGTATTTATAATGAAAATATACAAACAAAATAAAATAACACATAAATAATGACATTTTGATGTGATGTTTATGAAAATTATTTCTCTAACAACCTGTTTCAAATAAATATTTATTTCTGTCTTTTTTTGCAGTTTTTTACATTTATATTAATTAATGGCTTTAAAATTTATATCATTATATTGGTATTCGTAATGTGCAATACATTAGCAGCTAATTTCGGATGATTCAAGAATTCATTTTGCAGAACCTCAATCAAAATTTTAATTTGTAATTACATAATTTTAAAATAATTGTAAAGAATGATGTAAATTGAATTTCAACAATTTCTCTTCGATATAATAAAAAGAAAATAACAGAAAACTAATTTTATTCAATTATGACAGAACGACAAATGTATTTTTTATTGATATTGACAACCGTTTGGATTTTACATGAGATGGCTAGAATAATGAAGGACATTGATTAAAATTGTTAAAAATTGGAAAAATGAAATAAGTAGCGGAAACATCTTTTTTGATTGCATAAAACAATGAACATTAAAATATTTATAACCGAAAAATAGAAAAATTATTTGTGAGTATATATTAAAATTATGAAAAATAATTTATTAAAGAACATTTATATTATACATACATATCTATAATTTGTAGAAATAATATAGAAATGTATATACGATAAATTGCAAACTACTATAGGTTAATATTTTTCATACAATTTTTAATACAATAATTATTAAATCCGTTTGTTTCTAAAATATCAGAAGGATTCCTTTCTAAAGCAGAATCCGAATTGATCGCATTTGTATCGAAGAATCTTAGCGAGTTGTGGTGGTCCGCAATAAAAAACTGTAATTTTTCCTTTCTTCTTATCCTGGAGCTGTTTGAATACTTTGTCCCAATTGGGACGACCCGCATTCGTTCTGGTTTTTAATCCTGTGATGAGATCTCGTTTTTCCTAATAAACAAGAAATAACAAAAAAATTAATATGTCAAATTTTTTGTCGTTTGTTTAAATTTGACTAGCACAGACTTTTAAAAACTAATCGCACAATTAAAGATATTTAAATAATTATATATAACTGTAAAGATCTTTCTGACCTTTTCATGCAGAAGATCCAGCGCTAATTGCAAGCCAACTGCCTTCATATCGCTCTTTTGCAACGCGCTTGTGATGTACATATGCATCTCCAGGAAACGTTCCATAGTGATACCTAACTCAGCCTGTTCTATCTCGAGTTGAGACAGTAAGTTTACGAACCACTCAAATGAGCGTTGATTGCGGTTAATCCAAAAGAAGTCCACCTATAAAATATTCTTTATTAAATCTAAATCCTAAATATAATAGATATTGCACAGCATTATAGAAAATCTATTTACCTTTCGTAAATTCATTACAGTAGGCGGAATTTCACTGGCCCAGGAGAAGGAACATTTTGGACAGGTGTGTCTCGCTTTCCAATATCGATGCATAATCGATTGCAATATAGAGGCGAAGGGGGTGACTCCGATTCCTGTGGCGATCAGAACAGCGTGCTGCGCTCGGAAAATGTGACTGGACGGTGCTCCGTAAGGACCGTCTAAAAAGATCTATAATAACGACATGTTATTCACTCGAAACCATTACGTGATAATGAAAAGGATCTTGAGAACGTTTTATCTCCTCAAAAAAGATTCACCTCCAGTGGTTTTCCTACAGGATAATTTATTGGCGGTTGAGAAGAATTGGATTTCAAATCTAAACTATCTGAACTACCTACAGCTTCACTAAACCCTTGTCTCATTCTTCCTTCCTCCGCCGCAACTTGTATTGCTGTCGGTGTCATCGGCGTCATTTCATTCCCCTCCGCATTTGCATTTGATGCTACAAACATACATAAGCATGACAAATAAAAATATTATACAAAATAAATTTACATTTTTTACATGGTTTAGATAAATGCAATCAATTAGTTTAAACGATTTTTCACAGTTATGTAATTATTATATTATTGTAGAATTATCATATTATTTTGCAAAAGATTTTCTTTTTCCTTCTTTATAAAATAATATTATCAAATAAATTTACATTTTTTTTCATAACTTACCCATGTTTGACAATACATCGATCTCGTAATCGTCTGTTTCGAAACTAGGTGTTTTGAAAGCGATAATAGTCGGTTTTGTTCGCATGTACCGGAAGCTTTGTGCCAATGATTTGTTTTGCGGACTCAAATAAGCTAGCCCCAATGACTTGAATCGCGCGCATCTCATCTGACATTCATCGAAACTCTTCTCCGATTCAGATCTCATGTAATCTCGAAGTCTATGACATTAAAATACATGAGAATATCATATATATGTAATATTTCATTAAAAAGATTGTTATAATTGTTATAATGATATCGCTAATAAAATGTTTGGATATTTAATCGTGATATTTATTTACTCACGCTCTGAGTCGTTCTTTCTTCTTGCTTTTGATCTGCATATCGGGCATCGAGCGTGATTTTTCAAGAGGCATTTTGCTACCAACAAATAACTGATGAAGTCTCCTATCTCTTCTCGTAGACACATCTGTCCATTCCTTATTTAATTCTGACGTATCTAGATGTATTTATGTAATATAAATATTTAATATTAGTTTTGAAAATGTAGCTACTATACAAATTTATTAAATAATAACGATTTTATGATACAAGCTTAGATTTATTATTCTTTCAATTTTTCACGCGAACTAAATAATATTTTTAAAAATAAATCTTACGTTCTGTAGCTTTTAAATATGCAGACTGATTATTAAATGATGCATGCGAAGGTGACACGGTATTCGATAAGTCAGACACGAATGAGGGATTGTCCAGGCTGTGTGTATTAGGTATGGATTCCATTGAGGCTTTCTGTGCTACGATAAGTGGTGTCTTTTTGCCACTGAGGAAACTACACAATGAGAGATATTAAAAACTAATATATAATTTGCGATAACCAATTAAGAGCCACAATTTAATTGTTAGAAATCGTTATTTTGAATTTTACGCAAGATATACAAAATTAATTTTTGTGTGAACTGTGCGTAAATCTTTAATTAAATCCCAACGGACTTACGATTTCTTTCGGGGAGCACTGGCAGCGTCACAGTTCTCGGCGGGCAGAATATCGGCGCAGTGAAGTTTTATTTGCTGTTTCTCAAAGTACGAGTACAAACTGTTGGTCCACTCACCTACCGCACGAATGTGCAGCCACATGTAATCTGTACAAAATTAACATATTAATTTTGGAAAATATACATTGTATGTAAATGCAATTGCGGTAATGAGAGATAACATCAATCAAAGTGTAAGAATTAATAGCTTGCCTTCTTGCTCGGGAGCACTGCTAATGGTAAAAGGATGCCACTCGTATCTTGCTATCACCGGGATTTTAACAAATACATAATCGCCGGGATGAAAGTGAAAATTGGGCGGTCTCTTAATAACCAGGTGAGTCACCTTTGAAGGCAAAAGGAGGCCGGAACTTATGTATGTCTTTCCACGCTGAGAACGCAGCCACACCAGTCGATGAATCTTTTCCACTAAGTATACGACACCCGGGCCGACAAACCACTTCCAGAAATTAGGGCCATGGAAGATCATTAGAATCCAGAATGGTATGAACAGCAGATGGGACCAATAAAATATCTTACGACAAAAAAATTATTCTAATTATTACACAAGAATGATAAAAATATTGTTTTCAATCATCTTGAATCATAAAGATTAATCTTTAAATTAAAAGATAAATAAAAGTATAATAATGTAAAAAAAGTATTCGTACCTCGAAGCAACCACCACGTCGTACAAACGGCATGGAACAGACGAGCATAGTGACGAGTATAATAACCAGAATTACCCCGGTCGGATACGCACTACCTGCCACCAGACCGAAATATCCAGGTCGACTCGTTAACAACCATTCGGACATGGTGTAGTTTCCGCTATTCATTTTCTCATCTTTTATTATTACCGTGCCTACATTAGATATCATTAATTATCTTTAATTAATAATTTTAATTTAAATATAAAATAAAAATATTAAATTAAAACAATAAAAATGGTATCTTAATCTTCACTAAAGTTTCAACAAAAGATTTTCAGCACATTAAGTTATGCTAACATAACGTATAAGATTATAATTAAATAAAAAACTTAAATATACCACAATAAATGAGATGCATCAGAGTGTGTACAATGCTGAAAATTCCGATCATTATCCCCGTCATTTTATGGAGATATATATGATGATCTAGGGGCACTAGTGAATTGAAACTATGCGTTCGCAAAAACGTGATGCACTGGCGCAGCATCAAGACCAGAATGAACGCGCAATCAAAGTTCAGACATTGCCCTAAAATATATTTTTATAATAATTTAATTTTTTATTTTTGCTCTTATTAATTAAAATTTATTCTAAAGTGATGACAAATTTCGCCCATTTTTTGGACCTCGAAGTTCAAACTATTTTTATGGCAAATAGTATTAGATGAAACATTAATCCCAGTAAAATTTCAAGATGACCATAAGCACGGTTCCGGAGATACAAGGGGGTGAAAGTGATGAGATACCATCACTTTCACCCCTTCATATCTCCGGAACCGTGCCTATGCTCATCTTAAAATTTCTCTAGGATTAATGTTACATCATATAGTATTATTTGGCATAAAAAAAGTTTGAAACTTGAAATCCAAAAAATAGTTCTTTTAAAATGGGTGAAAAAACAGGTTTTTTGCCATCACTCTTTATTCAAAAATGGTTAGCTGCATGGAATAAAATTATTATGATATGTTTACGTGACACATTTAAATAATTTATAAAAGATTGGATATTATATTTTTATATTTTTCTTACCGCAGGCACGAGCAAACATTATATAGCCATTGTCATGTCGATACTCATAGAGGCGTGAGACGAAGAGAGCCACGTTGATAAGCATGAACATCGAAATAAAGGCAATAAAGACGTAATTATTCTTCATGTACGGCTTTGTGAGCTGATACGGAAGAAGAGACACAAACGTTTCCAAAATAGACTTTTTCTTTGATTTTGGTTGCGGTGGTACCAACCATCGATCTATGCTGCGAGTATTATATTCTTATTCCTTACGTTTAGTATTTACTTTAAGAATTTAGGATTTAGCAATTCAGAATTTAATAATTAAAAAAGCATCAAACATCTAATTATAAATATTAATTTAAGATAAATTTGAATTTTCGATTGTTAAACTTGTAAATTTTTTATTTTATACAATGTAATTTTTTATCTAACCTAATCGAGAGATTTTCCAGCAGACCCTCGTGCTTCTTTAATTGCTTTTTTAGAGCTTCAAAAGTGATTGCTCCTCTATTGCCTTGATCAGCATCTTCAAAGAGTGCAAGTGTTAAATCTTCGATTTGCTCGTCACTAAATTTCATTCCATTTTCTTCCATACAGGCTCTCATAACATGTTCTAACTCGCGAAGTTGTATTAATCCATCACCTTTGAAAAAACCAATATGGAATACATTAAAAGCTTTAAAAGTCTTTTTTGGATATATATTTTTGGCAATTTGTATTTAAATCTTTCTTTATGTAATTTATTATTACTTATTATTTTATTTCTTAATTTTGGGGAAAATATAAATTTCTTTTTATAAATATTCTATGTAAATGAGTAATAATTACCATCGATATCATATACTTTGAAGAGAAACCTAATCTTATCGTTCGGAGATTTTCCAGCGAATTGATGCATAGCGTCTAGAAATTCTTGAAGCGATATCGTGCCGGAGTTGTCTTTGTCAAATATTTGAAAGACTCTCTCGGTAAAGAATGGCTAAAAAATTATAAAATACATATCATATCTGAAATTTATTCCTCGATTAATAGTTGATGCCTTTGCCTCATAGTACAAAATTCGATATTGAATTTGACTCAATTTAATTAAAACATATATCGAAAAATAAAAATAACATCGAAAAAGAAGAGATATCTATATTACGATTTTTATATTAGAAAAACGAGAAATTAAAATTTTGCGTTTGAAAGATGAAGAATACTTATGCCTCCTGCCTACGTTCTTCGAAGTGACGATAGTCTTGAATTCTTCACGGCATATTTCCCCTTCGTTTCCAACAGTTTGCTTAAATATCTTTTCCAGCCATTCGAGATTTCCTTTGTCAAAGCCAGCACGTGGTCTGACACAAGATTTTAGTCAGTTAATATACATAACGCACGGAGGCTGATAAAACTAAGAAATTTAATAAAAACGAAAGCAATAATATTAAATCTCTAGAAAACAGAGTTTTGCGATAAGCATGTTACCTGGGATTACTCACGCCAGATATCATATCCATGATTTGAGTAAATGTTACATATCCCGAGTTCTCGTAATCAATTAACCGATATAATTTATCGACGATCTACGACATGGCAACTATTAATTGTAATTCTTTTCTTTATTCTCTAGATGTGAAAATAGTGTGACTTACCCCTTTAGTATAAAAAATCTGTTGAAAATTGAAGAAATTTACTGAATTTTCCCCACATAATACATATGCGACACTTTCGATCTGATCGATAAAATCATTTTGCTTCTCATTTCTAATAAAAGAATGAAAATAAATACAATGAGTAAAAACGAATGTTAAGTATACTTAAAATATCATTAGAAAATTACATTGCATAGATACAGACATTTATATAATGGAAATTTATTTCTTACGTTAGCCTTCCTTTGAGGAATTCGAGCCATTCATCTTGTTTCAGTAACCCGTCACAATCTTGATCAAACAGTATAAATAATTTTCCAAGAAGCACCTGGAAAATATCAATAAATCATAAGTAGCAAAGTGTCAATTTTCTATTAAAAACTGTGCAGCGAAAAAGATAAATGTTACAAATTCTTAAAACTATTTAAAACTTCCATCAATTCAATTTTATTTAAGAGAAGCGAATAGAGTCGCTTGCTTGAACACGATATTACGAATCTTGCTGAGAAAATTGATATTGTCAGCTGTTCGTGAGATTGCACATTTGATATGCAAATCGCCTAAAATCGTGTCTCTTGTACTCATTACATGTGCGCGTAATCTGGGCCAAAGTTAATATGTGATAATAGAAGCGTATTTATTAACATTCTAGCCTCAGGTGCGTATGACGGCGTCAACGTTAACATCGATATGACGCGTATCGATCACCATCGGCGTGGATCTCGACGGCCCGCTGTAGGTACGCACGTATATATTTCACTCTCGATCGTTAAGAAATGGGTCAATGTCATGAGAGATTACACTGCGTGCTCCCTCGTCACATACGAGATCCAGAAACATGTCCCAAGTCTCGTGAGGTATGGTTGGCGAATATGATATATACTGATGATGCCTGAATTATTATTCATAACATGTACATATTTTAATGATGGAACATATGACAATCCATTTCTTTGTAATTAATTTTGGATAAAAGATATCTGATTGCAAAGTTATTATTATTATTTAACATTTGAAATTTACGTTAAAATTGCTAACAATAAAAACAGATATTATTTGTTTCCCAGTTTAACTTAATTTTAATTTTACATGATAATTTAGCAATAAGTCCCATGAATTTATATATATAATTATTATTTCTCATTTAATTGGATTTTAATAAAACCCTTGCCTCTTTAATAATGTAAATCAGTATTTATCGGTTAAATCGGTATTTAACGATGCTTAATCGATAATCGATAGCGCTTTGGCGATTTGTGCCGACAGTTAAAGGGTTAATGGATAGTTCGTAAACAAGGCCCCGGTCGACGCTATGCTCTGCTCTACGATTGGTCTCTGTGATCGATTGATCGGTCTCGAGCGACCGGGAGGCGCTCGGGGCACCAAGGCCTCGCGCCCGGGGCGATCGGCCACCTTGATCGAAAACCAGGGGCCCTCGATAGAAGCCCCTCGTTTGCTTCGATCGTCACCGCCGCCTCGGGTCGCCTTCTCCTACGCAGATCCTCGAGAGTGGACTCATTGCCCGTCCGATCGTGATCTTCTACAATGGAGACGATTGTCCGATAAATGGGTACATGATTCGAGATCGCAAATCTCAGTCGAAAGCATTTCAGCACCGATAAGGAAATCTCGTCATAGCTCTCCTTATTTGGCAAAGTATCTTCTCATAATTGGAAGAGAGATACCGCACATGAATGGACTTAATCACCTTATTCTGGAGCAAACGATGCTTAGATTTCGCATAGAGAAATAATCTTTGAATTTGAAGAAGCAATATTGTGTTCCATTGTGTTCATGCTCTTATGATGTAAATTTTTGCAAAGCAAGGTATTAAGTAACTTTTTATTCGCAATCTTGAACAAAATTGAAACTTTACGTCTTAATGTAGATAGTAAGTGTATGTCACACTTGTCAAAAAAACTATTGCGCAATCTTAAACGGTATAATGACAGTGCTTTCCGTCGGAGTGTGAAATGATTGACTGGATGAGCGATTGTAATCTCATATAGTGCCGATATATGTATAAATGCGTGCTTTATTTTTTTTCGTATCTGTTATGAGTGACAGTTTAAAAAAAGAGGTGTCCAAGAATTCAGAATATAAATGCAACACTACTTCTCCATGCTTCAACAAGATTCTTGATGTTACAAAGAAGAATGTTACACAAAATATGACAAAAGAATCACATCTATTTTATAAATATGTATAAAATACTTTGTTTTATTTTATGAAGAAGAAATAATTATTGAAAATGTTTGCAGTTACATCATAATAAAAGTTAGTTAGACAAATTTAGTTTGAAAGATACATTGTTTATAATAATATATTATTTCTGAAAACTAATAGAAAAAAATATATATATATTTATATTTTTAAATAAACGCATTTTTATTTCTTAGAATATGTACACAGATTATGAAAATAAACTCATTTCATGATTATTCATTTTATGATCTTTTAAACCTGTTTTGTGTAATCCAGAAATACTGGAATTTTGTTGTGTTGAAATAACAACTCTATTTAAAGCTACAAAATTTGTATTATATTTGCTTATGGTTTTACTTCATGATTACAACTATTTTAAAGTTTAAATGAATATTACTTTGAATATTACTTTTATGAATATTACTTTGCTATCTAAATACAGATAAATCACGGTGAAAAAGGACAATTGAAAAAACCTGTAAATGCTTTTTAAAAGAACCATAATTGCTCGACAAGCCAATATACTCGGGTGACGTAACGTCGACGTTTCATGTTTAGTGCCACGCGAACCTTCTTTTTCTTCACGAAAGAAAGTGAGGCAGCAAGCCAATAATTACAATAATTGCAATTCTTCATGGCCGCTTTAAGAAAGTGCCGGATTACGATCACGAGGACGGTCTACCCTCTCGTTATAAATCTATGATAATTTACTAACTAAAGGATTAGTAGATTAGAAACTTTTGAGCCATATGATTTTGCAAACTAAAGTTTATATTCATAATATGATATCTATCTTTGATAAAAAGAAATGAAATATTTTCCCGACTTCTTTTATCTATATAAATTTTTTTTTTTAATTTCGCGCTGAGAAATAATATAATATCGATATATATCACTAAAAGCAAAAAAGTTACATCGCTTGATTACATTTTTCTATATTGTTATCTTGAGTCTTAAATTTTCTAATTGAACGATTTTTGCATTTAATAATAATTGTTTTCTCATGGGATATGACACTCTTTTTACCAAGTTTTACGATTTCTTTCCATGAGATGACGTTTTACTTATTTTACATGCACATATCAAGTTGTTTCGAAACCTTTGAAAAAGCCGTCATAAAATTAATCCGTATCATAAAACTCTGAATATACTTCTCGTATTTCATGAATAAAAGCAGCAATCTTGTTCTATTAAAAAAAGTTGTGACAACTTTATCCAGCACTTTTATGTATTCCAAACAAGTTTATATAATGTTATTTTACTTATTTATATTTACGTTTAATTTATTTCTATTTATATGAAAGTTTTATAAGTACATAAGTTATGTATATTTTTTAAATTCTCTTGTCGTCAAAAGCATTATTTTCAATGACTGACGTAAAGGCTCGTCAAAGTAAAAACAGAAGATATAGAAACAAATATAATTTAATTGAATTACTATATTATTATATTTGTATAATATTTATAATATTTAGTTTCTGTTACCTGATCATGGAAGAGTCTTCTAAAAGCTTCCTTGTTGTAACGGCCAGATCTTTCTTCCTGCAATATCTCCTTACACTCCTTTAAAATAGTCATCCTCCTCTTCTCGATTAGACATTCTTCCTCCATGCAGATTATATTCTCTTCCATTATTAAATACTCTTTGCGACAAGTGCTATGAAGAAGGTGTCATCGAAGAAACAAGATCACAACCACTTTGGCAATTCATCACAAGATCAACAAGAGTTCTGTCATTTCTTGTCGCGAGCTCGTTCTTGTTTGGGACACGACTGATTCAACGCGTCAGTCGCGTGTTATGTACATGAATGAAAGGTAAATTTATAAATTTTCGCCGGTGTGTTAGTTTGCAGGGAATAATCTATATTTATTGTGTATTACAACTCTTGAATTGTAACTGTAAAGTTACAATTAATATTACAATTTTGGACATTTAATATTTTTCTTTTTGTTTCAGCAAGGAAGGACAATCGATAAATCAATAGTTTTAACTCTGATTAATAAAAGTAATTTAGATAAGAAAATATAATCGAAGCGGGGATATTATATTTTGATAATATTACATTTCAAATAATTCTTACGAAAATAATATGAAATTTTTATCCCTCGTTTTAATCTTGCTTTTATCTTAACGCCTGATTTTGCATTAACAGAAAAAGAACTTTTATTATGTTAGAAATTTATCTCAAATAATAAATAAAAGCTATGAACAAACACAGTCTCCTTTATTTGAACGGCCGAATTCTAGTGTAATTTCTATTTTATTTACCTTACTTTTGCGAATGAAATTTGAAGACATAAATAACATGAGTATAGAAATAATATAAATACATATCGGTTCTCTCTACTCCTTGCGACTATGAGATGTAAATTACTGTGATTGTTTGTTCGTAAATTCTTCTTTCCAAAAGAAAATAATACCAAGTAAAGAAAGAGAAAAAAATCAGCAACTTTCTTCTTTGTCACGTTTTCTTATGTGCAAACAAGGATTCGGTGACAGCTCGTAATTAATTCGCATGTAAACAGTCCTACCTCTCGGTACTTATAAGAATGAGAGCCCGGTTCAACGTACGTACGAAAATTCACTTTATCGCCGCGTATCAACAAGCGAGATCGCCGTGTTAACGCGCCTCGACGTTACTGAGAGAAGTATTGAATGAAAATCATCCTCGGGGCATCAACGAAACGGCGTTCGCGCGGATGTCGCTGGCTGGCTGGAAATGTTGGTGCCAGTAAACGCTCGTATTGGATCACAGGGCGATACAGTGAGGGAAAGAGAGAGGAAGATAGAATGAGGAAGGGAGATAGAGATCGGTTTTGCTGGCAATTCAGATCGTGTGGGGATAGAGGAGACGGACAACCTTTCACTTTTTGACAAGTTCTGAGTTCCTCCGCCTCCCATTCCGTCGTGGATCTCCTCGTCCTTCTACTTCTTTTATGTATAATAATGTAGATATGTTAAGAACCAAAGGTAATTTGCAATTATCAAATCAAAATTAGATAAATGAATCTGCTAACTGCTTGAAAAAAAAGAATCTTTTACGTAAATACACGGAGAGAATTTTATTTTAAAATTTACCCTGAAAATCATGTTAATCGTAGGACATCATAGTATTTCGACAAATTTTATGTGATTTTCACTATTTTTTTAAATATGTTCTACACCAAATTTATTGTAGTGTGCACACTAAAAAAAAACAGAGAAAATCACATAAAATTTGCCGAAATACTATGTTATCCCACGATTAACATAATTTTCAAAACAAATTTAAAAAGGAAATTCTCTCCGTCTAGTCTTCTAGTGTATCTGTTACATAAATTGCATTTTATTAATAGATGTTGATTGTTGCTACAACTGCCGAATGATGACCCAACGACTTTTAGGCATTGTCATTTTTCTCTTTCATGAGTATAATATATTAACAACGTATAATAATAACATTTTTCTTCGTAACGAAATTTATTTCGTTGATGTGTGCGTCAAAGATGAATTATGAAGTTGTTTTTAAGATATACAACTTTAAGGAATACCAATATATTTAGGAATTTTTTTGTTTGGAATATGAAAGAAAGTTACGAAATCGATTCGACGCATCTAATAGCTAGAGTTTTACAAATGTTTGTTGGCAAGTCTCTATCGATCGCAGTTGTGAAATTTTACGCGCGCATGAATACACAGAGATTTTTGTTAGCAACAATCATTTGTGGGATATCGATTTATAACTTCACGTAGTAAACGTGAAATTGTTTGTTATATCTGCCGCTAATTAAATTATTAATTGTTTACTCTAAACAATAAATGCACGCATAATATCAAATACTGCTCGGATATCGTAGTTTTCGTTACAATTATCGCAACTTCAACCACGTTCGATCCATAAAGGTCGTCCGGAGTTGCGCTTGCGCTTCCCGGAGATTAGCACCTGCGCTGTAGAAGTCGAGCACGAGAGCCGAGTCTTCGACGCGTTTTGTTTGCCTCCTAGTCTCTCGGACAGGATCAACAACGAGCTATGAAGGTGTCCTGAAAATCGACGTTTTTCTGAGATGAGCCACTCGTTTTTCAAGCCGATTAGACATACGTTAGTTTCTGGACGTGGAACTCCATGAAAGCCTGAATTTAATCCTGAACAAGGTCTGGTCAAAGTAATTTCTTTACTGACAGTGTAATAATTTTTTAAGGTAATAATACTTGCCTTAGAACTTTGAACATAAGTTTTATATCGCTATTGATACAGTATGAAAATATCATTATATGTATACATATACATATACAAAAATAAATCTAAAATTAAAACATTATATATTTAATTAACATTAAATATTTAATAAAAGTGTTTTTAAAGCTTTTTTGAAACAATTTCATCAATATTTATCTAAAGAAATATCTTTTTTTTCAAATTTATAATAAATAAAGGTTAATACTGAAAAAATTTTAAAACCTGAATAGCTTGAAAATTAATGCAATATTATAAGTTGGACATATATGTATATTATATGTTATGATAAAAATTTAATTTTTATGTTGCATATTTATAGATGACATTTGACGTGATTCGATTCACGAATATATTATTCTTCCTCCTTTGGAGCTCCAGTGTAATAAGATGTTATAATGTTCCTTGCACGTTCAACACTATGTGCATGTGTTGGGTTCAGGATGACGACGATGATTTTACGAAGATGGATATCAGTTGTATGGGAGTTCCATTCGCACGATTTCCTGGTATGCATAAGAAGATTTAATGTTATTTAAAATGTTAATTAAAATTATTTTTTTGAGGCTAAGGATTTTCTTTACTAAACTACGACACTAAACTATGTTCTTATACAGATTGTTATTTACATTATGCTTAGTGTTATTTCAGCTAAATCTAAAAGATTTTTCTTTCTCATTATAGCTGTGTGATGCATTGCATATATATATATATATATATATATATATATATATATATATATATACACGATAAAACAAATTAAATAAAATGTATATGTAATATGATACTAATATATAAATGCACGGAAACATTTTAGATGTATCGGTGAGTTATGTGGCGCAACTAGATATCGCTGGATCCGGGATACAAGTGTTGGACAATGACGCGCTTGCGAGTTCCGCAGGTGTCGAGGCTCTGGGATTAATGAGCAATCGATTATCCAGCATAGGAGACAAGTCTCTGCTGTAAGTTTATTTTAAAAAATTTTTTTCCTCATGCATAATAAAAGTTTTTATCTTTTTCGTAGCAGGTTGACTGTGAGATAATCGTGTTTTGTTCAGACTTATTTATGATTTGAATTTTTGAATCTTTTAATAAATACTTATCCAAATTTAATTTATTCATGCAATTATCTTGACCGGATCAAATTCTAGAGGACAATGATTGTGAAATTTTATCTTTAATGTCTTTTTCGTAAGAGGTATTACGGACAGTCTACGTTCTCTGGATCTAAGCTACAATTCCCTTGAGGATGTGCCTTTCAAGGTTTTCCGTGATCTAAGAAAATTAAATTGGGTCAACATGCATAGGTATGTAATGACAAACTTGATAATTTTAGTTTATTAAATAATTCTCTAATATTTAGAGTAAAAGTATGTCTGTTATAATAACAATTGCAAGTTTTTTATTTCTACTACATTATTATTTTTAAAGCTTAATATTTTAAGGAAAAAAAATGTAATAAGAATGATATTTTTAAAAAATATTTTTATAAAATAAAATATTTTAATCATAAAATTTATTAATCATTAGCAATCATTTAACGTCGTTGGATGGTGACTGGGGCCGCACGAAAGATACTCTAACGAACGCATTCTTCGGTGATAACTCGATCACTGAAGTGCCTAGAGTCTTCTCGAATTTCGCCAATTTAGTATGGTTAAATTTAGACAGTAACAACATTGAGAATCTCTCCAAAGATTGTTTGCCACCGAACATGCACACCTTGAGTATCAACAATAATCTCTTGAAGGAATTTCCACAATCCTTGGGAGACTTGAAAGAACTGACTTGGCTTTATATGAGAGGAAATGATCTCAGGTATCTGGAACTGCCAGATTTTCGTAGTTCCAATTTGGAGCTCATAGACGTCAGCGAAAATTCCATCGAATGGATGAAGACACCCATTCTAAGCAATCACACTGTAAAAGTTAGAGACTTTAATTTAGCCGGAAACAAACTGATTTCGTTGCCAAGCAGAATGTTCGATCGTCTCGAAACCAGAAGAATTCATCTGTCGTCGAACAGTATCAGAAATGTCGACAAGGAAGCATTTCGTGGTTTGGAAGATACTCTCGAATATTTGAACCTGGAAAACAACGATTTGCCGACGGTACCAAACGCTGTTAGTCAGTTGAGGATGTTGTCGTATCTCTATTTGGCTAACAATGAGATTAGAAATATTTCCGGCGAGGCCTTTCAAGAATTCGCGGAGCATCTAAAGGCCCTCTCTCTTGCAACCAATAGTCTGGATGCGGTACCTGTGGCTGCTTTGTCCAGGTATTTTTAACATTATCGTATGAGATAAAAAATCCTTTGCTCTCGAATTTTAATAACGTTGAGAAACATTTTTTAATTAATTTCTAAGATGCAATAAAATCTTAAATTAAGAAAACATGAGATTTTTTAAATAAAATTTTGAATATATTTATTGTGATAACGATAAATTTATGTCTTTACAATAAGATTCTTCGTCATTTATAAGTTTCAGAAATTAAAGAGACAAAGAAATGTAATCAGTTTTATAAAAGCTTTAGCAAATTTTTTCAGAGAAGCACTTTGATTTAATCAGTAAAATTAATTAATTTTAAATACAAGTTTTAGATTAAAAAGACAAAATACAAATTATAAAAAACTGATCTATTTTTCATTATTATCAAAGATATCTATTATAAATACATAAGTTGTGAAAACAATAAAAACAATGAAAACAATGAAATGAACATAAGAATGAAAAATAAAAACGAGTAGCTACCCGTGTTCTTGTATTATAATCGCGTATGTGGAGTTTATATATAGACAGATTGTAAAGGTCAAAATAAATCACATAGCACGGGATATGAGTTAATAATATGAGATCCTAATAAGCGGAAAGAAAGTTTGATGCAACGTATCTGACGATCAATTTTCGAAACAGATGCCAGAGGCTATTGCACCTGAATCTCGGTTACAACAAGATCTCCCACGTCGAGCCGGGTGATTTCGAGTGGGCCGAGGACCTTGAGATCTTATTGCTCAGGAACAACATCCTGACGAAACTGAAAGCTGCGACTTTCAAAGGAGCCGGTGCGTCGCCTGTAATTTTAATTGCGAAAGTATATTGTCTGAAAGAATCGCTAAATGTCACGGATAGAATCAGTGATACAAAAATAACATTGTTTATATACTATTAAAGGAGCATGGTGAAACTTTTCGTGCAAATGTTATAATTATATGTATGCGTATTCAATAGAGCTTTCTCTTAGGTAAACTAAAAGAGCTCAGTTTATCCTTCAATCACTTGACGGAACTCGACGATGACTGCTTCGCTGGTCTCGAGGAGAGCCTAGACATTCTTGAGCTGAGCTTCGCCTTCGCCACGGACGTCTTTCCTCGGCGTGCACTTTGGCCACTCTCGAATCTGCGATGGCTGGTTTTAGACAACAACAACTTCCAGACGATCGAGGCGACGACCTTTTACTCCTTCCAGCAGCTGCGTTACATTAACATGGAGTCAAACAGGCTGCACTACTTGCCCGAAAGGATATTTCTCTCAAGCGTGCACTCAGAGTTAAGAGACGTCAAATTGGGATACAACTTCCTAGAGGCAATACCAGAGTCAAGTTTCCATAATCTGACCGAGTTGCTGTCTCTCGATCTGACTGGCAATCGGATAAAAGTCTTGGCGTCTGGCTCCATCGTGGACTGCCCGAAGCTGGTGACCATATCGCTGGCTTACAACCGAATACACAAGATGGAGAGAAACGCTTTGTACGGTTTGTCCAGCTTGCGTTTTCTCCACTTGGAATTCAATAAGCTGACCTTGCTGGATTTGGGTGCTATCTCAGAGATCGGTGGTCCCGATTTTGCTCTAAACGTTTCTTACAATGCGATCGCGTCTGTCGACTCGGGATCAACAATGAACAATCTTACCAGATTGGATCTTGGATTCAATAATATCAGCCACTTACCGGCGGACACGTTTTACGGAACGCCCGATTTGAAAAACTTGTATCTGCAGAACAATTATCTCGCCACAATTGATCCTGGTGAGAAATTACAGTTGTTTTTTTTCTTTCTTTTTGTTAATTGCAATTTTGAGAAAATTAATTTTCAACTGCTTTAATTTTCATCGACGATGCAGTATATTTAGATCCGCATGTTTTAAATTACAAAATAGACATTTCTTTCATTTTCAAATGATAAAATTTTTTAGCAATTCTAATTTCTATTGTTTTTCAGGAACATTTGCATTCCCGCATTTGGAAACTCTGGATCTAAGTAACAATAAGATAGACACATTACGCAAGCAATCCTTCCACGGTTTGGAATCTCTTCAATGGTTGAACCTCGGCGGAAATGAAATAACGCAGTTGTCGACAGAGCAGTTCAGAAATCTAAAAAATCTGAGGATCCTGATTCTCTCAAACAATAAAATTCGTTCGTTACCAAAGGATGTTTTTGAGGGTACCAGATTAGAAATCCTCGACCTCAGTCACAATAAATTCACCGTCGTGCCCTCGTCGTCGTTCTTGGAAGTCGGTTATACTCTGAGGGACCTCGACATGGCGGAAAATTTCCTGGATCACCTTGACTCGACTGCTTTCCCGACTTCTCAACTGGTGTCTCTGAATCTGGCGCAAAATCGTCTGACTATTCTGCCAGACAATTCATTCGTTTCCCTGGGAAAATTACTGAGCCTGAACGTGTCTCTAAATATTCTCCAGGCAAACTTTAAAGAGCTGTTTCATTACTTACCAGATCTCAGACATCTCTATCTGGCTAATTGCGGTCTTAGAAACATACCGTTACTGCCATTGACGAACTTGAATATTTTAGATTTATCTTTTAACAATGTTGACGAGACTACTGACAAGCAGTTTCAATATTTAGAAGGTTTAAAAATTCTTTTACTGGTAAATAACTCGTTGACGTTAATGCCTGGCGTTAGACTGAGTCTCTTGAGGGAACTTGATGTTTCTGGCAATCCTATCGAGGTTAGTTAAAATTTTAAAGTTGAAAAGCGCTTTCTCTTTTTTTAAATCTTCCTGAGGAAAAGATTGAGGGCGTCAATAATGATTTTTACAGGAACTGACGAAAGAAAGCTTCTTGGGCTATCCGAGATTAGAAAAATTAAACTTGAGAAATTTAAATCGGACCAGATCAGTGGACAAGGATTGTCTGCAATCTTTGAAATATTTAAAACACCTGCGAATACAAACGTGGCCGCAGGCCGACGGGTTTCATTTACGTCAACTGCTGTCTGGTTTACCGCTTCGGACGGTCGAGATTCAAGTGACGGAGCATCTGCTGAAACATCAAATACAAAATGTTTTCACGAAACAATTGAGAGAACTGACGATTACCGGAAATGATCTTGAGTTGATATCCTCCGAAGCGTTCTCCACTATCGAAGGCGGAGAGTTGATATTGAGAATCAAAGACACGCACGTTCAACGATTACAATCGGATATTTTTCTATCGTTGACGAAGAGATTATCACAGCTTACTTTGGACCTAAGAAACAATCATATCAACGAATTAAGTCCGTCAATAATTTACGGGAATCTTTCCTGGGAAACTGTAGGGACCAACATGGTAGCTGGTAAGTTTTTGAAATAATAGAAATATACATACAAGCATTTTAATAAAATATTTGAAAGAATTTTTATATATCTTTTCTAATAATTAAAATTATTCTAAAGTTAATAACAATGCTCTTTCTTTAGGTGGACTGCAAGTATCAGGCAATCCGCTCGAATGCGACTGCGAGATTGCATGGCTGAGTTTGTGGCTACGTAGATGGCTCAGAGAGTCTCGACAGATTCACACAGCGTCGCAATCCGATGCCAGACAACTCAGGACCATAGCCGGCCGAGCTGTGTGCACGGAGACAACTCCGTCTTACTCCTCTGACAAGGTCTTGCTGACTCTCGGCACGCCGCATACCGCTTGCCAAGCGTCCGCTCTCAGCTCGGGAAATTACGAACGACTGGCGACAGCCTGGTTGGCCTTCGTCAAATTCTTCATCCTCGTTTTCATTGCCAATTAATTACGAATTTATACCATGACATTTCCTTGGGCCTAGTCTTCAAAGTTCACAACGTGATCTTTTTTTATGTAAGATTTACCAATAAAAGTAGTTAAATAATTATGAGAAAACGTTTTTCTTGTTATTTCCACGATTAATATCAAGGGACAAAAAAAATTCTATTTATAATAGAAGACGAAAACGAAAAAGCGGAGACAAAATAATTATAATATAAAAATAATTCCAAGAATTTATCTTTATTTACAAATGTAATTGTCATGATTTCGTTTGTGCTTTATACAGATGGCGAGGGTAAAAATATACGAGAATGGAAAAAAAAAATCTTAAAAAATAGAAATAAAAATGTAGGCAATAAGATATTTGTGGGAGAACGTATGAGAGAAAAAAAATTGAAAGAGTAAAACTCGTCGACGCGCAATGATAATATACTTATTGTTTGCGAATTAATGAACACTTTCAATAAAATCACTTTACCTAAACTTCCTCGTTGTTTTTTTTATTTTACAGTTTTGCGTACCGCAGAAAATTACTTCGTTACTGCTCTTCACTTTTACACGGGCGGCGCTTGCGTGTGTTGCAAACAGCCCTCGACATTCTCCGGCCAATCGCAGACATTCTCATTAGGATTAAAGACCAGATTCACAGGACAGGGCATGTGATGCTTGCGCTCGCCCTCGCACATATAGTACATCGTGCAATCATTCTTGTCCGCATGATAAGATATATGATTGTCTTCTTCGTCACACGACACTTCGTTCGCTACAAAATTTATTTTCATAATCAATTCTTCAATTATTCTTCACCTATCTTTTACAAGTTTCATTTTTTTTATCATTTTACTTACGATCCTTAGTAGTGTATTTTCCATTTCTCAAGTTACTTTCGTAAGGGCCATCGTATTCCAGCTTGACCTTGTAGCTTTGCAGCTCCTTCTTCATTGCTTTGATCAGCGGATATTTTCCTGCTCCGCAAGAGCCTCTGAAGTCGTCCATGTCAACTGACCAGATCATCACGCCTCCAAAGCCTTCTTCTTTAAGCCAAGTCATCTGTACAAAAATGTAGCTTAAGAAATGTATGTGTAAACATATGAGATATGTATAACCATTAATTCCCAAAGAATAATATATAATATTAGAATAAACCATAAATAGCTCAATAATGCCTTTGCGAGCTGACACGGACGTTAGTGTGTAATAATTTTTTACTGTTACAATATCATGCCACATACAAACTACGCGCCGCATATATTGTCGGTCTTGAAACACAGTTCTTACATGAGGCCAGAATCCACTGTAATGAAATTGTCAAACAATTTAATATATGCGACGCGCAGTTTGTATTGATATTAATAGTAAAAAATTATTACACACCAACATCCGTGTCGACTCGCAAAGGCGAATTATTGAACTATTTATGATTTATTCATTATACGAGCCTCAAATTCTTCTAGTTATATAATATTAAATATTCTTTTTAAAAATTTCAAAAATATATACGATTAAAGATATATACCTTGTTAATAAGACTTCTTTCGTCGTCGAATCCGACCCACTGATCGTCTCTATACGCAAATGGTACTTGCTGCTCACTATCCCATACTAGAGTCGTATTGTCTTCGTTTAAGAAACTGCAAACCTATTTACGAAATGTTCATTTAGATTTTTGGTCAGGCAATATAAGTAATATTAAAAATTATTATAAAACGTTCAATTATTCTGTTTAAATAAATATCGCTAAAAATTACTTCTCTTGAGTATTAAGAAGAAGGAATGTTACATTACCTCATAGTAAGACAAAAATCCGGATTCGTTGGTGAAGTTCCCCGCTACTCCACCACCAGACGCTGGTGCACCAATGTCGAATTTATCCTTGTCGACCAGCGTGAAGGATCTGCCATACGTTGGCATTCCGATCATGAGTTTTTCCTTTGGCGCTCCTTGTTTCACCCATTCCCGCGCGCTGTAATCCTAAAAAATCAAATACGGAAAATAGTCATAAAAGCTCAAAGAGATTGACTTGAGCATATGGACTTTTATTTACCACTGTCAGCTTTTTCTGATAGCTAGTAGCACTTTCTAAGGGATACAATGGACTGTTGTGACCGACTTGTCTCTCCCACTGACCATGGAAGTCATACGCCATCACGTTAATGAAGTCCAAATACTTAGATATTTCAGGGACGTCGTACCTAAAAAATAGACCTGTAATCATCTAACAAACTAAATATTCTTATATTATATATATTATAAAACTATATAATAAAAGATTATTTAATATTTAGTATACAAAGTACTGCGTTATATTTTTTATATTGCGTAAATTTTTATCAATCATGTTAATTGCAACATCTGTGAGATATTTACCCTGCGGCAATAGCTTCAAAACTCGCAGGTACCGCGGCTGATAGAATTAATTTTGGTTGACCGGAGCTCTTTGCTTCGCCTTCAAATGCAAGCCTAAGTTCCTTCAAAAGATTAACGTAGGCCGTTCGATCATCGGCTCCTCTGCAAAAAAATATTTCAGATTATATATACATTATATATATAATAAGATACATGTAAAGTAAAGGAAACCTCGGGTATTCCCAGTCAACATCCAATCCGTCGAATTTATATTCTCGCAAGAAATCGATAGCTTCATAGACAAATTGGTTCATCCGGAATGTATTACTAGTGAGTTCCTTGAATGGCGTCGAGCCGAATGCCCATCCTCCGATCGCAAGTAGAATCTGAAAATATCGTTTTGAAATTTAAGATAAATAAGATCCATTAACTTAATGCACAATAACACAATGGAAATTTGTTGAATTTGAAACACAACAATTTGATGACAAATACTTTAATGTCTGGATTCTTGTCACGAAGCGCGATCAGTCTCTTGTACATTTCAGCGTCTTTATCACTTCCTTCAGTAAGTAGATGATCCTTCAAAGTAGCAAACGCGTATACCACATGAGTACAGAGAGTCGGGTCGATGTCTTCCGGACTGAATCGTCCCATTCCCGGCCTTTTGTGCGACCAATTTGTTAGATAACAAATGGTTTGCGCTTCTCTCTCTGTAATTTATAAAAAGATTTTTACCAATGCGTTGCACAGTTAATCTTTGGCTATAAAAATTAATTTGTGACGCATATGATATTTTAATAATCTTAAACATTAAAGAAATAAATATACGTATCGATTGTATCGAAGAATATTTTATATAAGATATAATAGAAGTAAATTTTATAATTATAGCGATTTAATTTGAAAAAAATTACCTTGAATCGGAGTGTTAATGACAAGTGTAGACTTCTGAATTTTTTTCGATTTGTTGAGCACCTCCGAAACGGCAATCTTGTGAGGCTCCGGTTTCTTCACGATTGTCTCTGTGATGGTGGTAGCAACTGCCGTCCAGTCGACGTCCTTGGTGTTCGAACCTCGCGAAATACCCCTAAGTTCCTCCCTCATCGCGCCAATCAAAGGGTACCGAATGTTTCCACCGCAAACGGTGCCGTTGAAGTCATCCATGTCGATCGTCCATACCATCGCACCTCCGTAACCCTTGCTCTTCAACCAGTGCATTTTATTCCTCACGGACTTCTCATCGTCGAAACCAACCCACTGATCGTTGTACACCAGGTAGGGTACCTTCATCTCGTCATCCCAAACGTAAGCGGCACCGTTATGCAGCATCTCACAGATCTGATATTAGAGAATAATTTTAATTTCATTCGTAATTATAAATTTATTTTAATCAAATTTTTATTCTACAAATTTGTGATGTTTTCTAATCGAGTGGCGATGTAATAATTACAAATATTGCAATTTGTAGTATATAAATGTAGTGAATAAAAAATTAAATAAAAAATTGCAGCCTTAGTTAATAAATTCCCTGTAAAAGAGGGTTGGCACGGTACCTCGTAATATGCGAGGAAACCGGACTCCTTGGTGTATTCGCCCGCCTTTCCGCCACCACTAGCTGGGGAGTGTATACGGAAGTTGGCAGAATTCGAAAGGGTAAAAGATCGGCCGTACGTAGGCATGCCTATGATCAATTTTTCTTTCGGTGCTCCCAGCTTGACCCACATGGTAGCTGCATTGTCGACGCTCAATTGTTTCTGCCATTCCGAATCCAATGACGAGGAATACAACGGGGCGTTGTGACCGGTTTCTCTCTCCCATTTCCCGTGGAAGTCATAGGCCATGAGATTGATAAAGTCCAAGTAACTAAGTGGTTGAAAAAGTATACTTTCAGCCAAATATTTCTGCGTATCACGATTGAGATAAATATCGATAAAGCGAATGTGTCACACTTTGCACTTAAATTAAATCGCATGCCGAGAAATAGAAAACTAACGGTAGCATAAATTGATTTCGCTTAAGTTTGTTAATTTACTATAAAATAATGATAAAATATTATTTGTTTTGCATAATAAATAATAAATTAAAATATCACATGACAAATTAATAATCTCGTATTGTCTAATTTAATTTGTATTTAATTAGTTTTATATAAATTTAATAATTGTAATCGCATCTTTCAATGCAGAGTTGTTTAATTATTCATTTCTTGTGCTTTATTCATATATACCGTTTTACAAACATCCTATTACTTTCACCTGAAAAAATTGTTATACCTGGCAACTGCTGGCACGTCATATCCACTCTTAACGTTGTCAGGTCCAACTGGTACCGCAGCGGTTAGCAGAAGACGCGGTTTTTTCTTTTCTTGCGCCTCCGCCTCGAAAGCCTCACGCAGCTCTACGGGAAAACGATGAAAAGTGAATTCAAGCTGCAACGTGACGGACATACCGCGTGACGGTGCGCACGAAGAGTGGAAATGTCAAGTGCCGCGTCGCACATTGAACTCATGTAGATCCCATGTGGAAGATAAAACAATAGGCAATAACCGCCTTATCAAGATTGGCGTGCGTCTGACATTTCCAATCTCGGAGATTTCGCATTGTTGTTGCTCTTTCCGAGGCGAGTCTTTACCCTTCAGCAGGAGGACGTAGTTCTTCTTATCGTCTCCACCCTTCGGGTATTCCCAGTCGATGTCAAGGCCGTCGAAGTTTCTATCCCGCAGATACGGTATAGCGCTGTAGATGAACGTCTGTCGAGCGTATCTCGTCGAAGACACATCCTTGAATTTCTGCGTGCCAAAGGACCAGCCACCTAGATGAAACGGAAAATAGTGTCATAATTTCACTTAAACTTGCGTTTTACACAATTTTAGAGATCACGATAGATTATTACTTACCGATTGCAAGCAGGACTTTTAGGGACGGATTGGCTTTCTTAAGATTTACCACCTTCTCGTACAGACCGATCTTGCCGTCTTTCGTTTCGTCATTCGATTCGAAACTAGTTAGTTTATTCTTCTTCAGCCATCCGAAGGCGAAGATAACGTGGGTGCAGAGGTCAGGTTGAATGTCCTCCGGCAGGAATTTACCGATCTTCGTGCGATACTGGGACCAATTCGTGTAATAGCATACGAGCTGCGGGCGGAAAGGAGTAAAATTAATACAGAACATCTTTTATCTTTTATAATGTATATAACATGTTATCAAAATATATAATTAGACTTAAAAACTATTTGGTAGTTTATTGTGCTATTATATTTGTTAAAATACTTTTAATACTTTGCATTGATTGTGACAATATGATAATATTAAATATAATATCAAAATTAAAAAAAAATTATAAGATATATCTCAAATTCTTTTGTATATCACAAAGAATTAGAGAGTGAGATCTCGTTAACTCCAAGTAGTAAATCGAATCGACCTATTAAACAAATTACTTCGAGATACGCATCTTGAAGAAATCTTTACAGTCCAGCTTTACGATAATAACTAATTATTTTTTGAGAGCGTCGACTGTCGGTTGAACAACCTTCAAGCACGTAATTTCGTTAATTTGAGAAAAAGTAATTAACCGTACGAGAGATAGCCTCTTGGGAGAATGACGTAGATTTTACGCTCTGATAGTAACGTTTATCATCAATGTGAGTTGAACAGATGCTGTGACACTTACCTTGTAATCGTTTGTCTTGCCAGGCTGAAGCTCGTTCTTCGTGTTCTTATTGCTGACACGATTTCGCGTGACCTTGAACCTGTTGACACTGGCTGAGACCTCCTGATCGTTTGAGATCGACGGGGCGGAAGTCGTCGGCCTGCGGAATCTCTTTCTCGCGCCTGACGATACACATACAATCGCCGGATAATTACGTAAAATCGCTCCGATTCTCTTCCTACGGCGATTACGCAACGCCGTGCACGAATGTGCGTTTCAATGTTGCGTAAGATTTCGCGCTTACACGCATATACGACACGAAACTTCGAAAGGCAGGTGCCTTTCACCCGTTAGAATCGATTACTTTGGAACCGTTTTGCATATACATATATGACGCAATATCGACGACGAGGACTGAGAGAGCCCTTTTGCACTTTTTTAGGATATTGTATAATATGAGCTTGCGTAACCGGAAGGCCACATTTACTCGTGCGGCTAACAAATGCTCTTGATGAATCGCCCGCAATCTGCGCTTGTCGATAGATCGCTTCGGCCGATGAAAAAATTTATATAATCGAAACGCCGGTGGAGAAATTATTAACCGCCATGCTGAGGATTAAATATTTCGTATAAAAGGACGTTACATTATTGATCAATCGTCAATAACCGATCAACAATGAATAATATCGATAGAGACGGTTCTATTTCTCATTTGCTTCAAATGCGAAAACTGTCGCGATTTCTAGATCGGTTATTACGTAAAAAGTAAACGATGGGAATTAATGAATGCAGAAATTGTGGAGTACCTTCGGCGTGCTGAAGAAGGCCTAGAAGCAGTACCGCGAAGCAGACGAGCAGCAGCCTCCAAGTAGTTCTACTGGTCGACACCTGAAAGGAAAGCGAAAACGGAGATAGCGCAACAGAAACAGGTAAGTACAATGAGAGTTTAATGAGTTTAATGAACTCTCTATGTTAACGTAACTTTCAATCGAGAATCTCGCTGAAAATTTCTATATAAAATCAATTACATCAGGTTTATGTATAGTTAAACCTATAATGATGGCTTCTATATTTGTATGCGTGGCGTAACAATAAGTTCTGCCAGAAATTTTATCTTTATGGAGATAAAATTAGGTTTGGCTTAATTGTTTAAATAATAAAAATGTTAAAAAATTCATCCTCGCTGAACAGAGAATTCTTACTTCATTTCTTTCACTCTTGTTGGCAATTAATATTGAAAAATGTTTACACAACTTTATATTTTTTCTTTCTGGCGCATAACTATTCGTGCACGATAAGGTTAAAGACCCGCGACATGGTTTTCCAGGATTAGTTCATGCAGAATTATTCACATCGGCGTCGTGATTGGAGGGGAGAGAAATTCAGAATAGCGTATTCGCTCGTTAGTATACGCGATGTGTCTGATAAAGGCTACGGCGAAAGTCGTTCTGACAATCAATTACTAAGCGCTCGTGAATTATACTACAATAGCGACAAGGATCAATAATCTCTCCATTAAAGAACAATGTATCAATGACGGAATGGTGTAGAACGAGCTGACTGCAAACTTACGTCTCTCGCGGACAATTTGAGATTACGACAGAATTAAAAGGACTTGGAAACGATGTTAGAGCGCCGAAGATATATTTCATACTTTCGCACTTTTCTCTTTGCAACACAGATGTATATTTATCAATCGTATTTTTCAATTTCACGCCCCGGTTTCGTGATGCAATTGTAATTTGTTCTATTAACACGGATTAGAACGCTTGACCGACCGCGTGATTTACAAGTCGATTTTTTAAAAAAATATTTTATAGCATAATGCAACCACGCGCAATATTCTCGAAGCGTATGGAAAATTACATTCAAGGTGACGCTGATATAACGATGATACTTGTTCAGCCGCGATGACATATACATTGAGAAAAGATTCAACAGCTTTCGTTGGCATTCGAGAAATGCGAAAGTAGTTTGCGATTTAAACAATCCATTGCGAATAGTTGCATATACTTATGGAACTTTGTTGAGTGAGAAATGGATAAGTGAGTATCGAGAAAATATTCAAGAAAATTATGGGCATATATTCTATCTAAAATTGTATGTATTTTACCTAAAACCTACGAAGCGAGAAGATCATAATTTTTTTTAATTTACTGAATATACACGGAATCTTATACACACGGAATAAATCGCCTTACGATTTTTACTGTGAAAGTTACCAGTCGTTAAACGATATTAAAAAATATCTACGTCGATATTCAACATTGTACAGTTACATTATACAGTTTTACTCATCTTGCATTTAAGATAAAATACTAAGAATTTAAAGGCGCATTAGAATAATTACTCTCCAATACATGGTCATTGAAACAATGCAACGGTTCGTTCGCACGCTAATCGCGTTTTCACTCCTGGCTCGCGTGAGATCAAGATGGAAGTCACGCTTCATCGCGTTTTTTCGCAGGGTAGATCCTCACGCGGGATAAAATTCCGTGGAGCTCGTCGTCCTCGCTCGTATTAATTATTATTGCAAACGGCAAGAAAGCTGGCGAACAGAGCCGATCCTTTTTTCGAGGCCATGGCCGACCGGGACTCCGCGACGAGCGGATTTTTTTTTAACGGCATCCGTCTGACTCTATATTCCAGCCACGAGGCTGGAAAGTTCTTAACCTCGTGAACCCCCTCCCCCATTCCCCTCTCCGTCAAAGGACCGCAGAGATTGTCGTTGAATATCATTACGCGACACACGCGGCTTAATGATATTCAGCGCGGAGCGCGCGATCCCCGGCTTTTATATTGAACCGAGCCGCCGCGCCGCGCCGCGCCGCGCCGCGCCGCGTCGTTCCAATATGCCAAAGCGAAGTGAAACTTCTCTTCCCTGCGTTCCGCAAAGTGGCCGTTCCGCGCGATGCGGTTTATCGAGAGTGATTTTATCGGGGAGCTCTTCAGCGGCAACGTTTTTGCACCGCTTATAAATCGCTCGTGTCATTTGAAATTTCCATTCGCGCCTTCCTTTCGATTTTAAGATGCGACACGATTAAGTCTAGAATCTAGGCGAAATATTCCGCACGACTACGTGAGAGATCGTCACCTCCTCGAGACATCTACAACAAGTTTTTAATTCGCACCTCGCGACGTCGACGATAAAGAGAAAACGCAATTATGCCTTTAATCTTTCTGTTCCGATTTCACTTTGCATGAAGGTTTGCATTATACGAACAGAACTGGATTATCAATCATTGTATTGTTAGAGACGTTTCAAATCTAGTAAGATCTGGAACCAATATACAAATTAAATTTATTAATAGATGAGATTATAGAGATTACATGTAGAATTTTGCACATAATTGTCGATTAAAATATCTTCTTTATTTGTAATGATTTTTTTTAACTACAGCAAATAAGAAAATATTTTTATTTTATTTTTATTTAATTGGTGAAAGTTTAGGAACGCTTTATCATCTATAATCTATATCTTCGCAATGATTGAACATCAAATTGGCTAAAAGGCCTATCTGTATCAATTATTAATTTTTATTTATTATTAGTTTTATAATTATGATTGAGGTAGAAGTCTCATTCTACTCTACGTAAGATAACTTCTAAGATACCATGTACATTTCATATGTGTTTCTTAGCATCATTTATCTTCCATGAATGTCATTGCAAACGCGAGTAACGAGTATCCGCGATCCACATTCTCTCCGCTCACTCGTACTTCCTCACCGCGCACTACACAATGGCATCATCAAATGAAAAATTACCCGCCCCCTTTCTTGTTTATTTTTTTGTCGTTTTATTGCCCATTGTCGCCTCGCGTATTATCACTAAGCGTCACAAAATGCGCTCGCTCGCTTTTAACGTGGGAGCGACTCCACGTTATACTTCTAGACCGACAATCATTAGCACGGTTATTAATTAATCAGATGCACAGCGAAGATTAACGTCGCGCGTCTAGCTTCAGGAAGAGGCGTTCCTCGCGCATCTAACGCAATTTGCATACAAGTGCAGCTCGTGCGAGTCGTGCATTTCAACTAGCAGTCGTTGTTGCAACTAGCACGATGAATGACGATGGGCTCAACGTGTTTAAAATTCTTAAAAATAAAATATTGTTGTCTGCAAAACGATAAGTGTGAAACAACAACGTAAGTGTTGTAAAGGAAAAAATATACTTTTAGTTAGAACATTCGAGAGACCTTCGAGATTTACAAAAATTTACAAATAATATTCAAAACGATTCGAGAGATTTTCGAAGTGATTCCAAGCAATTCCAAGCGTCTTGAGACTATCAGTTGCAACTCTCTCGTTGCATCGTCTCGTCGCTGCATTGTGTCGTCGTGTTGTCGTCGGTGGCTGGCTGGCTGGCTGACTAGCTGGCTAGCCGGCTGGCTGGCTGGCTGTGCACGTCGACTTGCGTGGAGAGAGCGAGAGATTTCTATGCCGGACTTTTAGAACGAGCGGCTCCTATTGCCACGGTGCACGACTCCCTCGTGTTATATAGCCAGTCAAGTATCCGTGACTTGGCAGGATGATAATTTCCAACGTTCCCCTTACACGTCTACCCGCGCGCGCGCATTCGCTGTACGCCGGCGGATGCGAGGCAATCCGATGTAAATCTTAAGGGATATGCCCGAGATGTTTAAATCGTGGTATCGGGTTTCTTCGACCTCTTCTTGGGAGAGGATGGGACGCGCGAGCACGAAGCTAGCGAGATTCTTATTAGATTTGCCGTGAGTAGAAGAGTATTTTCCAAGTCCTTGTCCAATCAGATTCTTCTTTTATGAGAAAGCATATTTTTAGGCACTCTTACGTAGAGAAATTTAAACAAACGTATCTTTTGCGACAATCGAATTGTATTTTGCACAAATTTGAAATTTATTTTCACACAAAGTGAAAGTGCGGGCTCAAGTAATCTTATTAAATATGTCATGTATTGTTAGCATTAGAAATAGCAGTTAATGTGAATTTTTGTCGGGTCTTTTTTTTCTTCTTTTAATTCTTTTCCTTTTCTATTTCTGACAAAACTAAGTTTTTTCTTATCTTTGCATAATATCTAAAAATATTTTAATACAAGTATTTCAACAGTACGATAAATTTTTATCTGATATTACTTTCCTGTTGATCGCTAGACGTGTGGGTCGACTGTACAGATTTAAATCTTTAACGTAAGTATCTTTGATCCCGTTCAATTCAATAGTGTTGCATGACATTGCAAATTTCTTACATTCTTACGATAGATTTGTTCGTGCATAGCAATTTTAGCGTAAATTGTAACATTATCATTACCATCAGAAAATATCTTTATAATACATCAATATGAATTATTAAAGTATTAATGTAACTTTTTAATATTTGATTTAAGATATGATTTTAAGTCACGCTATAAAATAAGTACAATAAGTATACGAAAATAACATATTTTTCAGTAAAAGTTTGCTCACACTTTACATTAATCCGTGCATATTATTAAAAAGTTAATCCAACATTTAACCTTCAACTTAAAGAGTTTTATTTTCTTTTAATGCAACAGTGATCATAAAAGTGCAATTTTATAGCTTGTTGTTTAAGCTAAAATAGCATTTTATTAATTACTTGACCAATTCGCTATCAAAAGTAACAATGTTTAAACGTACATATTTTAAAATTCTCGCTTTTTCTCATTGATATTCTTACGGCGGTATAATTATTTATCACAATTACAAATACATTTAATAAGATATAAGCTAAGCAGTCAAACTCGATTTGCGAAAGATCAGACTTCAGTGTCATTTCGTCACGCACGATCAGGTCCCTCAATCTTTCTAACAGCTTGATAAAAGACGGAAACATGTAATTCCTCTATTAGGTATAAGGTGTTCTGTGATAGTAAATTTTCAAATAGAATG